TTTTTTTTTCTGTCATGCTATGCACCAGCGTTCACAACAACGTTGCTGGATCAACTCATTTTCCACCTTTTTGCTGCTTCGTCGAAAGAAAAAAAGAAAATGCTTCTCTCATGGAACGCTGAAGGAAAAGAGACTGGATGATTTGGATCTGACGCTGTGGTTTAGTTTTAGTTGTAAACATAAGTTATTTTGATGAAACTACGTCGCATTACGGGACAGGCGCCATTTTTTCAAAGACAAAACGCCATTCGATCCATTTAAGAAAATACTAAGATATTTTCATCCATTGCGAATATATTTAATTCGCATAGGTTACAGTTTTCTATAAGCAAATTGAAGAATTATTTCGAAAAGCATTAATAAAACATAATTCGAGAATAAAATATCACAATGCAGGATATTATAATTTTTTTTCTTCGGACATCTTGATTTTTAGTACAAAACCGCGTCTAGTTTTTCATTGAAATCTAGAGGTTGCGAAAAAATTGGAGCTTAGGGGGAAAGGGAATATTTGAAACCTTGCCTTCTTTTAATTCTCATTAAAGAACTAATTGAAGAACTATTTTAAATACATTGAAAGAAAAATATAGCAATAACATTAGAAAAATTTTATTTGTTCGCAATGCCAGAGATTTATGTGTAGTGTAGATAAGTTTCGAGCAATACCATCAAGCTTGCTCGAAATCAAGTGAAATATTTTAAGGGAGAGGGTGCGTTTCTTGATTTTTCAGTGGTTCCATCAATAGACAAGAAAACGACTTCAGCCGAACACACGTCACTACTCGTCACATTCATTCATCCACATATCATAATTTTGAACTATCTAGATAACGATCAATCTCCAATTCAATATCCCTTGAGGTATTGATTTGATACTGGAATTTAAAGAACTTTAACCATTTAATGCACGGAGATTCTTTGGCTATTGGGATTCAAACTTACGTTCTCAAGAACACGAACCCAATGCCCAACCAAGCTATCCCGGCGTGTAGAAGGGATGAGTTGAATTTGAGTTCAACCTTTTAATCAAGAGATCAATTGAAACTCTAATTTATCGTATTGTTTGCAATAATTATAGGACAAAGTTTCAATATGTGTTTGCTTCTAATTTTATTTGTTTTTTTTTAAAGGTTTTTTGATGCTTTTATATTGGACGTGTCTGCAAGTTCTATTTTTTCGACGAAAATCGATTCCTTCAATGATCCAGCAAATGTCTTTGTTCAACATGTAGTTAAAAATAATGGAATTAAGTTCAAATTGAAAATGAGCCTAACATGTAAGTTTGAATTAATAGAAATCTTCTGGGTTTGTTTCGGGGTTAAAATATAAATAATTTCCTGAAATATTTTTAATCCTTGTTTTATTTTCCTTTATTAAGTACTTTTCAACTCCATGGACTTTCTTGGAAAAATTGTCAAGGTATCTGGGCTAGATTCAAGCTCTTCTGAATTTTTTACTACCTTCGTAAAAAATATAATCTCTGAATGAAAACGAACTAAAGAAGTACGATTCATTTATTTATAATTTATGATTCAGTATCTTAAATGCATTTTTAACTAAGATTTTCAGCAGTTGTTAATGGAAAATACAAAAAATTATAACACTATGGAACAAATTTTTCTGATGTGCGAGATTTTTTTTAGCAAATCTTAGATACTTTCATATCACTGATTTCATGTCCGCAATCGGTTTCTCCTTCCAAACTACAATTTTTAATGACATTTTTAGTCTATAATTTGCCGCAAAAGTATAGACGCGTTATTACAACAAAAAGTCGCATAAATGTTGCGAAAAACGAGGGGAATCGGGGCACATCATCACGGTTCCATAAAAACCCATGCCCGGAAATGCCGTTATACCTTGATAGGGTTGCTAAGCTTTTATTTACTCTGTCTTCTGAATAATGAGTCATTCCACGCCGTTTTAATCCAGATAATGAGTACTCATTCCTTTAGAATTTGTCACACCTCCTATGGTATATAATGTTTCTAAGCATCTTAAAAAAATTTATAGATTAAAAATTGCATTTCATTAAAAATCTGAGGCCTTGGAGGAAAAACTAATTTTAAATTTGAAACTTTCACACCCGAACTAGGAAAGATCAAGTATTTGTATAAATGCAGCACAAAATTTATTCCCCAGTGTAAATCATGATTTTAAAGAATGCACTGCAATTATGCAAATATGGTTTTTTTTTTCAAATTTTCAACTTTTTATATTTTTAACAAAGATTAATACTTTGAAACTATCGCAACATTTATGCGACTAATAAGCGTTGGAAGAAAAACTCATTTTAGATTTGAAGCTTTCACGCCCGAATTAGGCAAAATCAATTATTTGCATAAAAGCAGAACAAAATTTATTCTCAAGTGTAAATCATGATTTTAAATAATGCACTGAAATTATGTAAATATGTTTTTTTTTTCAAATTTTCAACTTTTTATATTTTTAACAAAGATCAATACTTTGAAACTATCGCAACATTTATGCGACTAATAAGCGTTGGAAGAAAAACTCATTTTAGATTTGAAGTTTTCACACCCGAATCAGGCAAGATCAAGTATTTGAATAAATGCTGCACAAAATTTATTCCCCAGTGTAAATCATGATTTTAAATAAAGCACTGAAATTATGTTTTGTTTTTCAAATTTTAAACTTTTTAAATTTTTAACAGAGCTCAATGCTAAGAGGAATATTCATTGTAAGAAAAAAGATTCATTCTAAAAGAAACAAATTCTACTATTTCAATGAAGTCGTGTGAGGTTATTCATTTCTAAAAAATGATGATCATACCGGACTTAAGTCTCGATACAAAATGTGATAAAATTTTCACCATAATTAAAATGACTCTATACCGTCTTAAAAACCATTGATGGCAAATTTTCTTGCAACTGAAATTATAATTTAAATTAGAGTAAAATATGAGTTTATCAGATAAATCAAGAGTAAACTGTAGGGGAGAGTGGTGTCAATTGTAACAGGGTACGATTGTAACAGAGCAAAAATTTTGAGTGCCGGGATCTAGATTTGGTTCCTAGGTGGGGCACAAGGTGTATTTAATAAATCTACATATACACCCCTGCTGGCAACCATTTTTATATACTTTTGTAAGAGTTACATTACAAAAGATATTTTCAAGCTACGCAAGTACTTTTTTTGGTATTAGAATATTATATTGTAACAAAGTAATTTTGTTTAAACAAATAAAAATTATTAACCGAATATGTAAGTGATCACCTTAATTAACATTTCAAAAGAAAAATATTAGTTTTGTTAATTAACTAGCATTGTTTTTAACAAATGAAGCTGAAATGGCGTCTTGGGGAC